AAAATTAATATGTCACACAAGACCTGACTGATCGGCTATTACATCATTGCGCAGAAATCTGTGCTAAGTCTTCCGAGGTGGTGATCACCGCTCCAGACTATTATTCGGAAAGTTGTTCTAGTGTTTCAAGCCTTTCTATCAACTCATCCAAAGGAAGATTCATCCCTATGATTTGACTTCATCTTGATTTATAGATGAAATTCCGCAAAATAATTTTTCTCTAAGATCTTTCTCATCACATCGCGCTTGCTTTGAAAGCTTTCTAAGCCTTTCTAATTTTATCAAAAATGCCCTTACCGATTCATTACCTTGTTTCAGCTCCCCCGCTTTGTATTTCTGTATTTCGGTAGAAAGTGTTGGATCTCTAACTAAATATTTGACTATCACTTTTAGAGGTTTTTTATACCCAAACTCTTCTGCACGCTTTCTATTATCGGGCGATAATCCAACGAGGAATTTTTCTTTAACCTCTACATCATTTAAATCCTTACCAGTGAGCATAGCATAAGATTTTACATTCTCGAAATATTTACTAATAGAGCTATTGCCTTGTGTAAGGGTTAATATTTGTATTCCTTGGTTACTTCGTAATCCCGGAGTGCTTGGAGGAGTTGATTGATCTACCCAATTAATAGTACTACTTACCATTGTTATGTTTATTGCTAATAAATTATGCTATATTTTTAATCAAAAAAAAACTATCTATATTCGAACATTGTTTTGTTAATATGTAACTAGCGTGGCCGGCAGAAATATAATTAATATGTCACACAAGACCTGACTGGTGATCGGCTATTACATCATTGCGCAGAAATCTGTGCTAAGTCTTCTTTCGAGCGGAAAGTGATCACTACCCCAGATTAGTTAGATCGGACTGCCAGATATTCGCTCAGTTCGGGATAATCAAATACGCCTACAACTCTATCCTGTCTTTTATTCGTGACAGTGATAAAGCCAGTTGCCCTATCATATATGTGGTCATACTTGGTCGGATTGCATAATGGCAAATACTGTGTGGGGTTAGTAGTAA